TAATGTGCCAGACGGCAAAGCCATTTGAACTGCAAGGCCGGTGGTTCAAGCTCACCAGCTGCCCCTTGGAAACCCTATACAGGGTCACTGTGGGTCGGAATCAAATCGACGGCACTTAACAACAACAACAATCCTGCCTTAGAGTCCTGGTGTGGAACTGTAGAATCTGCACTGGTCTATGAACCACAGGTTTGGCATTTCAAACCTACCAGCTGCTTCTTATACAGGGTTGCTATGAGTAGGACTAACCCAATGACACTTAACAAAACAACAACAATCTTGCCTTATTAACAACATAGAAGTTAGGATTTCTAAGAAAAATAGAATGGTTACATTTGGTTGCAAAATGGAGGATAATTATGTAATACTGAAAATTGTGGCCTAGCTAAGTTGGCACTTGTTTTGGGAGACACAATTCAATTCACATTATTCACAATTGCTTTTCTACATTTATGTATGTGATTATTCAATTGCTTATTTCCCTCCCAAGCGTGGTGGCCGGGACTGGTTTGGTCTTGTTCACCATGGTTTCAGCACAGTCTAGCACAGAATACGTTCCTAAGTCCTGGTGTGGTGCTGTAGGACAAGCACTGGGCTGTTAACCACAAGGTTGGCAGTTCAAACTGCTCATCGGAAACCCTACTCAGGGTCGCAAGGAGTCCGTACTGACTTGACAGCATTTAACAACAACAACAATAACAAATATTTATTAGATGAACAGATGGATGAAAAAGTGGTTGATTTTTTTTTTTTGCAACTCGAACACTAGTGTCAGGTAAACATAAGTGAGGGTTTTCTTCAAAGGGGACTGAATCTGATCACAAATCAGAAACACTGAGCAAGGATTGCACTGCCTTTGTTCACATGACTGTCCTTCCTACAAATCAGTGAGGATAATGGATGGCCAAGTCTTTGTATCTCCTGCCTAGCACAGTGTCTTGCATCTCAGAAAATATTGCCTCTATTGAATTAAGTGAACAAAATTCAGTGAAGAGGAGATATAGCATCCTGAAAGATGGCTCAATGGGATAAGCATTTGGGCTGCTAAAAGCAAGGTTGTTGGTTCGAATCCACTAGCTATTCTGTGTAAGATGAGGCCTTCTGATTCCATTAAGATTTACATTCTTGGAAACCCCGTAGCGTGGGGCTGCTGTGAGTCAGAACTGACTCCATGCAGTGGGGTTTGGTTTGGTATGTCACCCTGAAGTTGACACTAGCTTGTCCTCCCTCTGTCTCCTCTCCTGCTGCCTCTCTTTCTCCTTTTCTTCCTTCCTCTCTTTTTCTCTTGTTAAAGATTCCTGAGCCTTAGGAATCACTGTAGCTGTGATCAGATGTTTCCAACAGAAAATTGCCCTCATCTATTTTTGGTTAACTTGATTCTCCAAAAAGCAGTAGTCTGATTAGCCTTAAGTCATGGTGGTGGTATTGGTAATTTCCGCATGTTGACATTGGGCTTGGAATGGAATCACAGGCAGGCACTTTAGAAGCTCATCCATTCAACCCTAGCTAATTCCAAGCAGAAATTAACTTGAAGATTGGATGAAACTTACTCTGCTGCCGGATGACCACAGTCTTGTCAGGATGATAGTACACAGATGCAACAGCAGTTTAATGGGAGCCAGCCTTCCTGTTAGAACCTGGCCCACAATCTGTCTTGTCCATTACTTCATAACTACATTTGAGAAATGACCAGGAGGCGATGTAGTAAAAATGGAGTGTTCATAATGAAATTGAGATCGATGAAATAATAATAAAAAAAACCAAAAGCCTAAAGGTGAGTTTGGTATTGATTGACCATCTTAGAAAACATTGTTAGTAAGAGATCAGAACATGCTTCCGATATGTAAAATGGGGGATTTCTCTCCTGAGCTTAAGACTTGAATTGAAACACAGAATGCAATTAGAAGGTATCACCAGGATGATCCCCTTAGAAATTAGGAGGTTATACTGGAGTGGAAGGAAGCCCTGGTGGTGCTGTGGGTTAAGCATTGGGTTGCTAATCACAAAGCGAGCAGTTCAAAGCCAGAAATTGCTCTGTTGGAGAGAGAGGAAGCTGTTGACTCCCATAAAGATGTATAATCTTGTAAACCCTAAAGAACAGCTCTATTCTAACTTTATAGGGTCCCTATAAGTCAGAATCGACTCAGTAGAGGTGGGTTCAGTTTTAGGTTAGTGGAGTAGAAAGGGCATGACTTGGGAGTCAGCCATACTTGGGTTTTACAACCAACTCTAGCTCTGTGACTCTGAGTAAATCATTTTTGATTTTTTTTTTTTTTTTTAATGCCTTTGTATGTTTGTTATGAAGGTCAAATAAGGTCTCCTGGGAAGAGGTATGAAGCCCAGTGCCTACTATAGGGCAGGCATGCCACATTGTTGCCCTCTCTTCTCATCTCTTCAGCCCTTTCAAACTGCTGGGCAGTCACCCTAAGAATTACTTAGTGTTGTTCAGTTGTTGCCTCCCTAAACTGTGTGCCCAGGTGCTTTGCTTGCCTCACCCTAGACCCTGCCTTGCACTGGAACCATATCAGAACAGAGTAGATAGATGCTCACCTCCCACCAGGCTGCAAATGGCTGCATTGAGATCCTTAAAGCAATATAATCTGACGCCACCAGTTAATCAATGACAAACCTAGAATGTGAGTCCAGGCCTATTGGCTCAAGGCCTCTGTGTTTTACTCCCCAGAAGTCTCTAGTTGTTCTCTCTGGGGTGCATATAACTGTTGCTAGCCTTTATACCCAGCTTGATCTTTCTGGGCATGTTCAGACTGTCTCCCCAAGAAGTCTGTAAGCTGCCTAGCAGTAAGAAGAACACGTACGTGGCTCTCATGCTCAGACTCTCCAAGGCACTTAGTACAGGGCTTACTTGCAATCAGGGTTCAGTACATATAAATTGATCCAGAAAAAAGCCATATTCTCATAGCCTTACAATTTTACTGTTGAGAAAGTTATAATAAACATTAACTCGGCAGAGGGGAGAAGTACATTCATTTCACCTGTTCTGTTCTTGCAGTGGTTAGCTTTTCAGGAATTTGCGTAAACTCCCACTGATTCTTTCTACAGAGAAAATCGCGCCTCCAAGTGGTGCTCATTTTACCCTCACAGAAAGAGGGAATGGAGGTGGAGGTACTATAGGATAAGCACTAGACTGCTAACCACAATGTTGGCAGTTCAAATTCACCAGCCCCTCCTTGGAAACTCATATAAGGTAGCAATGAGTCCTGGTGTAGCACTACAGGATAAACCTCAAGGTCAGTTTGAACTCTAAGGCCAACAGTTCAAACCCACTAGCTGCTCCTTGGAAACCCTATACAGGGTCTCTGTGGGTTGGAACCAAGTCGATGGCACTTAACAACAAGTTGGAATCAAGTCATAGGCACTTAACAACAAAAGAGAGTGTAAGGGTAGGACGGCTCAAATTTGCATGAGCTAACAAGTTACTGGGGGATCCTAACAAAATGCAGATTCTGACAGGAGGTCTGGGATTCTGAATTCCTAACAAGATTCCAGAATACTGGTGTGACACCATAGGATTAGCACTGGACTGTTGACCACAAGGGTAACAATTCAAACCCAGAAGGCAATCCTTGGAAACCTTGTACAGGGTCACTATGAGTCAGAAGTGACTAAATGGCACATAACAACAACAAGAAGAAGATCCCAGGTGATGTTGATGCTGTTGGTTTAGGGACCACAGTTCAGGTAATGAGGGTGTTGTTTTAGGGCAGATTGTCAAAGTGTTGGCCTTTTACTTTTTTCCTCTGCAACTATTTGTCTTTTGACTATGGGCAAGTTCCTTAAGCTCACACTGGGCAGAGGGAAAGTGAGCTACAATTGCACAAGCCAGCCTGCCCCCAGTACAATGATTCTCAATGTTTTCCACTAGGGTGAAATGAATGACATTTACCATCCATAAAATGGATGTTCATGTTGGTGTGGATCTCTGGAAGCCTCTTCTGGTTGGAAAATTTTGTGTGCCTGGGGAAATTGCATGGAGGTTTTGTTTGTAAACTGGGCTCAATGGAAACATTGTTTTCACTCAGATAATTCTCAGTATTCTCACTCACTCTTGTCTTCCTTCCTTCTGCAGGGGAAATCTGTGCATTCAAGATCCATGGCCAAGAATTGCCCTTTGAGGCTGTGGTGCTCAACAAGACCTCTGGGGAGGGCCAGCTCCGTGCTAAGAGCCCTATTGACTGTGAACTCCAGAAGGAGTACACATTCATCATCCAGGCCTACGACTGCGGTGCTGGGCCCCGCGAGACAGCCTGGAAAAAGTCCCACAAGTGAGTAACCTGCCTCAGCTCAGAGATGTTTGTGTTTTGGCCATGCCATAGTGCTCCAAACACCTGTAGACATGTGCCCAAGCTACTTTCTACACCTGGATGCTTTACCTCCTTTTCTTCACAAACTATCCATTCGCTATTGAGTTGATCTGACTCATGGCAACGCCATGCATATCCGAATACAGCCATAATCTACTGGGTTTTTAATGACTGATTTTCATAAGTAGATCACCAGGCATCTCTTTCAAGGTATCTGTGGGTACACTCCAATTGCCAACCATTCACTTAGCAAGAAAACATACTTAAGGATGGAATTCAGTTGTTACTTCTTCCAGGCAGCCTTCTCCAAGCTGCTCCATCCCTGCTGACCTGGTTGGGCAGTCTCCCTGGGTTACTGTGTGCTTTTCTTTCTGCCACAGCACTCTTCATTTGGTGTCTGTATGTTCTTTCCCTCATGGAGTTTGGCTCAGAGGCTAGCACACATTAAGAGCAATTGAATTCTTGGTGAGTGGAGGAAAGAATGAATAGAGGAAGAAGAGAATAAGCAAAACGGGAGATTCTGAGGAGATATGTTGCCAAAGGCTGGGTCATGAGGAATGATGAGAATCTTCCTGAGGTGGATTCATTTCAATGGAGCAAGGGGAGTCCAAAGGGATCTCCAGTGGGAAGGAAGCCAGAAGCCTCAGATTACAATCTCAGTGGCTGGCTAGTGGTTTCTCCACTCACATGACCTGCGGCCTGAGTTAGTGTCATGGTGGTGTGGGAGGGTGTTGTCATTCTTTCTTTATGTAACCTTTTTCTTCTTGTCTGTGGTCCCAGGGCCGTGGTCCATATCCAGGTGAAAGATGTCAATGAGTTTGCTCCCACCTTCAAAGAGCCAGCCTACAAGGCCGTTGTCACAGAGGGCAAGATCTACGACAGCATCCTGCAGGTGGAGGCTGTTGATGAGGACTGCTCCCCCCAGTACAGCCAGATCTGCAACTATGAAATCGTCACGACTGATGTGCCTTTTGCCATTGACAGGAATGGTGAGTGCCCTGAGAGGACCCCAGGTTGGAGCAGGGGAACAAGCCATCAACCCCACTCTGAAGGTCAAGGGTAAACTCTGAGTATACTTGGAGGGTCATGCTTCCCTTGCCATCCTAGATCTAGGCCCTGCGGCCTAGAATTCAGTCCTTCACTACTGGGAATGAGCTCACAATAGTAACAGCCAGCCACCGACTTAGTGACTGTGGTCTATAGAAATCACAGTGCCACACATCTGGATACTAAGAGTGGGTTTGTTTTCTGATAGAGTTTTCCAGTTGTCATCCAGATGTGATATATGCCATCAACTCAGCCACATCCTGCCCTTTTCCTATGTAATGAGTTGTATTATCACCCACCACCCCCACAACCTCTCCAAGCCAAAGAAACACTTGCAAAGATGGGTATTTTGAAAGATTTCTAAACTGTAGATTTATTCAGCAATCTTTAGAGCTTTAGCCCATGAGAATTTTAGCTCCACACCCAACCCAGATTGAATTGCACTGAAAACAATCCTTGTCAATTTGTTTGGATCGTTCCCCATCACCATTAGTGAAAATCTCATTGTAGTGCAAACAACACAGCCAGAGACCCAATCAACTCAGTCCTGTTTGACTGTAATTTTCAATACCTTGATTATAATCAAATGAAAATAATTTGCCAAGTATATTGTTTAATTATTAGTATGAACGCGTGGGTACCTGTATACTATCCCTGTTTTCCTTCAAATAGGATTTAAGACTGTTCAAAGGTATAAATATTTCAATCCCTGAATTCGATTTTGCAATTCTGTATTAAGTATCAGGCCCTGGGAAATGGTATAGAGTGGAACTCAAAGTAGACAAGGCCCCTGCCCACATAGAGCCTACAATTTAGTGAAAACCAATTTAAAATAATAGAAAATTGGGGGGCATCAAAGGTGAGGTTGATGTTCAAAGTAGACCATGAACCAGAGTGAGCCAGAAATTTACCTCTGAGCCTTCTAACAGCCAATGCATAGAGGGAAACACCAACAACTCCCATCACCTACTGGCAGATCTTCAGGAGAAACCCAGGACTTCTGGATGATGAGACATGACTCTGTGGTCTAGTCTTCTTTCTCCTGACAACTCCAGCAGATGCCACAAATGGTGGAAGTCTAGGAAGCATTCCTGACCTTCAGTAACCTAGCTATCATGGGAGATGGACTGATCTTTCTAAATCAAAAGAAGTGAGGAGGCAGCTTCATTATAAAATGCTAGAAAACATGACAATTACAATTATACACCTAGACACTGCTAGCTGCTTACTGTGCAAGGCACAAAACAGTATACAAGAATACAAAGAAGGGAATACTGGATTTCAGTCCTAGTTTGGTTCAAGACTATGAAGAGGGTGATTTCAATTAGTAAAGATAGACCTGCTCCCTGACAGCCTCTCCGCAGGCCCCATGTAATGGCTTGCCTGCACATACCATGCAATCACTCAGACACATGCCACTCCATAAAACTGAAAATAACTGTCCTTTTCTCCTTGGAGTATCTGTTCCTCCCCCCCCACCCCACCCCACCCAATCAGCTGTGGGGTCTGTCCCTGCAGAAGGTTTGAAATTCAGGGAATGGTGAGTCTGTGGTGAATAGCTATGCTAGATCAGTGGAGGGATCTGTAATGTGGGGCCAGGCTCCTCTTGACCCCTGCTCTCCTTCTGGAGAACCACAGCCCAAGGAGAGATGAGATGTCAATTCTTTCCCTGGAGGGTAAACTGCCCCAGTCATGAAGATAATTATTCACCTTGATGAGCCGCTTTGCTAACATATGCCAATTTCTTTCCTTGGCTGTCTCATTAAAGTGAGGAATGATCCCTTAGCCAGACCTCTGCCTTTGACTTTGGCTTACAACTTAAGATAAAGAGGAGAGTGGGCACCTCCCAGGAGTGTGGGTTGCTGATGGTAAGGTTTACAAAAGCAGTTCTCCAAGAAATAAAGGTGGGACCTGGGGCAGAACAGGAGTGGTTCTAATTCTAATGAGCTTCCCAATTGGTCACACATCCATAACTTCTCCTAAAGACCTTCAGGCTCCTTGAAGAACATACCGATCAGAGAAAGTACTGTGTTTTGGGCTCACTCCATGAGGTATAGGTCCCTTGTGGCTTCGGGTTGATGGTTTCTGGTCCCTCCAACCTGCTAGGCTCTTTGCCTTTGGTGGAAAGAAGGGAGGCAGGGCAGCAGGAGGATAGGGGCACAGTATGTGGAGTCCATGTCACTGTCTTCGACTTAGAAACTCAATGTCTCCCCACCAGAGGCCTGAATTCCTCACCTGTGAGAACATAGCAACAACATTTCCTGCTCCTTGTAGGGTTGTGAGGCCCCTGATAGAGACAGAGTGCAATATGATGTTTGCACGCTTCCCAGATGATGTGATTACTAGACACTTACCTGGGTAATTGGGATGTGAGACTTATTTACTCCCTACTAATCTCTGGTAGCGTAGTGGTTACGAATTGGGCTGCGAACCTTAAGATCAGCAGTTCAAAACTACCAGCTGTTCCGTGGGAGAAAGATGAGGCTTTCTGCTCCTGTAAATATTTACAGCCTTGGAAACTCTGTACAGGGTCGCTATGAGTCGAAACTGACTCCACAGCACATAACCACCACCACGGATGTCCAGGGTGAAATTAGGAGCAGGTAGTTCTGAGCTGGGGATATAGCCATCATAAGAAGTTCTGAATCCTTTCAGCTGGCTTTCACAGCTCTGCCTTCTGATACTTGGCCAGTCTCTCTGAGACAGACAGTACCTGGGTCCTCAAATCCATTCGACAAGTGGAGAAAAGCGAGCTCTAAAACGTGGAGTGCTGACCTAATAGCGCCCATCACACTGGTGCCAGAGTTGGTACAGGAGCTCATATCCCTTGAGTGTTGACCCCAAATTCTTCCCACCAGATTCTGTTCTTCAGTAGTATTTCATAAGCACCCATAGAAAAAGTATTTATGCTCATAAACACAAAGTTTTATCTTGATCTATATCTACTACTGTGTGTGTATGTGCATAAGAGAGAAAGACCTTTGCCAAGGTGCTTAAACCATGTCACAGTTACTCATCAATACGCTGGAGATCAAATAAGTCTACCTGTGTCTTTGGGTAGATTTGACTGTTACCTGAACCAGTGCAAGCAGAGCTCCCCCCTCCTCCACCCCCCCACCACCAGAGTGTCTGGTACAAACAAGCACTCACCAATGTTAGGGAAAGACAACAGAGGTCTCAATGACACCAAATTACAATGTGGCAGATTTTCTGTTTTACAAGCAGTTGTTTGGTCTCCACACAACCCTAATGGCGCCCTCTCATTGTCAGAAGGCTGCCCTAAAAGTGGGAGGATTCTGATGCTTCAGAAATCTGCATATACCTCAAGTAAATGAAATCACTTCATTTCCATCTGAAGAGAATAGCATTGCGAGCCCTTTGTGGGAAATTTGGAAAGTACAAAAAAGTATGAAGAAGAAAATAAGTCACCCATAATTCTACCAGAGATAGCCACTATGAACATTTAATCACATTTCCAATGCTTTTATTAGGAACTTTTCAAGAAAATTCAGGTCGTTCACTATTCTTGCCATTCTTTATTTTTCCCTTTTCACTTGATGTTTGATTACACATATTTTCCCATTCTTGAAATGACTTAATAATTACCCCTTTTAATGTTAAATGACCTTCCAGACTGTATATGAAAAATAAAAAGCATACCAGTTGCCTTGAGTCGACTCAAGTAGACAACTCCATGTGTTTCAGAGTAGAACTCTGCTTTGTAGGGTTTTCAGAACCTGATTTTCAGAAACAGATTGCCAGACCTTTCTTCCAAGGTACCTGCAGATGAACTTCAACCTCTAAGCTTTTGTTTAGCATGCAAGCTACTCAGCTCTTCCGTTACTATCAGACATCCATCTTCATTTCCTAATTTTCACTGTAATAGATATGGCTTCCCTCCTCCCCTCACTGCCATCAGGTTGATCTGACGCACAGTGACCCTGTGTAGGGTTTCCAGTGCTGTAAATCCTTTTGAGAGCAAACAGTTTCATCTTTCTCCCATGGAGCATCTGATGGGCTTTACCTGCCAACCTAGCAGTTAACAGTTCAGTGCTTATCCTACAATGCCTCCAAAGTTTCTCTAAGTACTACTTAGGTGAACATAGTTGTCCATATATCTGCCTTTTTTTTTTTTTAATCTTTTCTTAGAATGAATTTGTAGAAATTGCATGTGTAAAAAATACGAACACTTTCCAAGCAACTGACAAGTGGGTGTTCAGAGTATTTTTTTCTCTTTTTCTAAGCTCCTTCAGAATAAAGGTGTGGCTCTGTGTGGTTGTCTCCTGTATCCTCCTCCCTGTCCCTGAGTATTGAGTTTGAAAAAAAAACAAAACATGCCTTTACTAATATGTAAGGTAGACACTGCTGATCTTTGAGAGCTTACCTCTCAGATTCACAAGTGTAAACCTGGAGACAGAGGCCTAGAGATGGCTGCTTTTCTGCTTCAAATGTGAACACTAGAAGGAGCTCTGGTAGTGTAGTGGTTACGAATCGGGCTGCGAACCTTAAGGTCAGCGGTTCAAAACTACCAGCTGCTCCGTGGGAGAAAGATGAGGCTTTCTGCTCCCGTAAAGATTTACACCCTCAGAAACCCTGTACAGGGTCGCTATGGGTTGGAACCGACTCGATGGCACATAACAACAACAAGGCTCCTAGGAAGACACTACTAGGAGAAATCATTTAAATGTAGAAAAAAGTCCAATTGGAATAGAAACCAAATGGATGGGTTTGAGCTTTAAAAATTTTTCAATGTGTGTCATATCCACATATGAGCTTCCTGCATGTAGTAGTAGTTGACCCTAGTATTCTACTTTCATTTGGAACCTTGGAGTTCAAATCCTGTGCTTTGAAATACATTCTCACATTCATGAAGTTGTTGGTGGTGGAGAAAGCACATTAGCTCCTCAGAAAGTTTCGTTTAGACTTGTCACACAAGTGGAGCTACAGGAAATGGAGCCAAGGATTTGGCTCATGAGCTTCTTTATCTACCACAATGGACAGTGTTTGGTCTACTTAATGTCACACAGACTGTAATCACTGAGCATTCCTCTTTAAAAAGGATTATCTTTTGAGAGCCATTTAACTCTAAAGAAAGAGGACGTTAAAACTTTTTTGTTCAAAATTCAATTTGATGCTGCAGAAACATATTTCTTGTGGTTATATTAAAATGCTTGTACCAGGCAGGATTCCTCCCTTGGGATGACTAGGAGTTGGAATTGACTTGATGGCAGTGACTTTGGTTTGGGTTTGTAATGAACTATAACGAGGACATTTGTTAATAGAACCCGTTACCAGCCCAGTCCTGAGCTGTTCCAGAGAGTGGCTGGTCCCCAGAATGGGGAATGAAACAGACATTTAGAGGAAAATGAAAGGGATTCTGAACACCAGTCACAAGACCAGGAATACATCAAACCTATTTTCCTTCAAGGATTTTTGACTGGCTTTGTTAAACTAAATTCAATTTCAAATTGGTAAACCCAGCACGTCTTTTTTGAAAACAGTCCAGGAGCAGAAAGCAGAATAACCAAAACCAAACTCATTGTCATGGAGTTGATTCTGACTCGTGGCAGCCCCAGGCTTTACCAAGTCGAACTTCTCCATAGGGTTTCCTTGGCCGGGATCTTTATGAGAGCAAATTTTCAGACCTGCCTTTGTAGCACTGCTGAGTGGGGTCCAATCACCAACCTTTAGATTGCTATCCATCGCCGAGCAGCTTCCAACTCTGCAAGAACATACTCTGTAGTATTTCCAAGGCTACGAACCCTTATAGAAATAGACTGCCATACCTTTCTCACATGGAATAGCCACACAGTTTCACCACAGAACCACTGGAGTTCCTTTTCAGGTTAGTTGTTGTTAAGTGCCATCAAGTCGGTTCTGACTCATAGCGACCCCATACAGGGTTTCCAAGAAGGGACTGGTGAAATTGAACTGCCAGTCTGTGGTTCAAAGTGACCTTGTGGTTCAATGCTTTGTCTCACAGAGAGTGCAAATCATTTGTACCGCCCAGGGACCTAAGTATCAGAATAAATGAGTTCAACTATTGATTAAATGTCTTGGGCAACCTTGTATATTTCCCCACCTACCAGACCCTACCTTTCCATCTCCCCACCCCCTGCACATACAGTATTTCCACATAGTCCATGCCCGTGTAAGTAGCTTACATGCACATATAATGTATATAACATTCATAGGAAAGTAACATGCAAGGAAGTTGCATCATTTGCAAACAAATAAATATAACACGTGTTTTCTGTGGATAAAAATGCAATACAAATATTTCCCCTGCTCAAGAACTAGAACTGAATATTGTTTTACTAATATTTTGTGATCGGTGGATCAACTTTTCCAATTTTTAAAGCATTATTTGACATTCCGAATTTCCTAAACTTTCTTACCATAGTCCATTTTGTCTCCATTTATATGAACAATTAAAATCAGCTAGAGTGGAAAGGAAGCCCATTAGGATTTTTTTCTCTCTTTTTTGATGAAATATAAAAATCTACCTGAGCCAGCTATAACATATATGTGTGTTTATATAACATATATTGGTTTATCTGGTTTCTTAAGTTCGATTTTCCTAATATCTCTTCTGGTAAAAGATGATATTTGAGTTCTGATTTTCTATCAATTTTCCCATTAAAGCAAGGCAGGAATGAAATGACTCTTAGCAAAGGAAGACTTTAATCTCTTGGAATTTACAATTTTTAAAGTATTAAATGCATGGTGAATCTATATTATATAGTTCCTTCATACCAAAACTGCATTTTAGCAAAAGTAGTCAATTTGACAATTTGCTCATTAATCAAGAATATTTATTTCTGAATCATAATAGCAAACCCACAGGAACAACAAAAAAAAAAAACACAAATGCCTCAGAAAAATTGTTCAGTCTCTCTTGGAGGAGAAAAATGTCTTTGCCACCAGGGCAAGGAATCAGTTATTCTGTGTAGCTTTCAGAAGGGAGGTCACACATTTTCTTATTGATTTTACTTCCTATTTGGTAGCAAAATAATGTGAGAAGAGGCAGCAAGCATTCCTGGCAACCAGCCCAGATGTTAAAATATGTGTCAGGACATTTTCTGAATTCTATCCTTTTCCCTAAGATTTCATGGCAAATCGTGTGCCCTATATCAGGGCATGACACCTGGGTGCACTTTGGGAGGAAGTTTTCAGTCACCTATCACTTGCAAACACAAGCCAGTTGGATTCCAGATGTGTGGTCAATTTGCTAGAATCCTAGTCACATAGTCAGGGTCACTTCACCAGTGGCTCTGGGTAGGAGTTAGGTCACAGGCGGAAGCCAAGTTCCGCTTGCTTTTTTTTTTTTTAACAAAGAGATGAGGGGAAAGGGTCATTTTTTGTGTGTTCAGAAGAGGATTTCGAGAAAGTGTTATGTGGTTCATTTGATCTGAGATGATTTTGCACACTCATGTGTCTTCAGGAAACATCCGGAACACAGAGAAGCTGAGCTATGACAAGCAACGCCAGTATGAGATCCTGGTGACCGCTTACGACTGTGGGCAGAAGCCGGCTGTTCAGGACACCCTGGTGCAGGTGGACGTGAAGCCAGTGTGCAAACCTGGCTGGCAAGGTGGGCCCTGCTTCTGTCAGTACTGTTAAATCAAAGTGACTTGTTGTAGGATATAGAAGGTGCTGAGGTTTGTTCTCAAATCATTTCACCAGGTAGCCATGGGGTGGGTTAATGTGCAGCTACTCTGCTGCAAGACAGTCACTTTTATTTCTACAACTCTTATTATGTGAGACACCATCCCCATTTCACAGCTGACAATGCCAGAGGTAACTAGTCTAAAAATAACAGGCTTTGTTTTCCCAGTGCGTTCTTTCTCAGACCCCATGACATCTCTGGATCAATGGTAATAATTACCCAACTGTGCTCGAGAGAAATCAGTAGCCAGTCCATTCACTTTATCTAAGAGAGCTGAGACGAGCTGATGTGCTTCAAGCTTTGCGCCACCACTCAGTACCTGGGTAGATTATCCTGTTCTTTGGACTCCACACGGAGGGCTTGCACACTGAACTTGGAGGTCCAGAGCCTAGCCTTTGCATTAGGACGTTTTGAAACCATTGAGAATGGAGAAGCAATCGTCTAAGTTGGAGGCATAGTTTTCTGTTCATTTTGGATCTTCTAGGGTGCAGATGGAGTCCTGGTATGGCACTTCAGGTTAATGCACTGGACGGCGAGGTGAGTTTGAACCACAAAGTCAGTGGTTCAAGCTCATCAGATGCTCCTTGGAAAACCTATACAGGGTCACTGTCAGTCGGAACCAACTCCACAGGACTTAACAACAACAATAACAGGGAGCAAACAGAAAAAATGCTCAGGTTATCCTTAGATGGTGAGGATTTATTACTTGGGAGGCAAGCTGTACAGATGAATCTTGCAGAAAAGTGAATGGTTTTAGTGGAAACAGTTCTAGTGGTGACAGCAGTTCTGGTGGCCAAGCAGGGATGCTAGGCTGTCTCTGTGCCAAAAGACTTCTGTGCTTCAAGTGCTGCCACTGCTACTGCTTACTCACAACTCCTGGTGCTTCATGGAGCCATCTCCTCATGGTCTCTGCTTACTGCTTTCTTTTGGTGATGGTGGTTGTGTGCCACCAAGTTGGTTCCAACTCATAGAGACCCCACATTGGGCTTCTGAGCCTGTATATCTTTACAGAAACAGAAAGCCTCAGCTTTCGCCCATGGAACAACTGGTAGGTTCAAACTACTGACCTTGTGGTTAGCAGCTCAGCTTTTAATTCACTATGCTTCCTCTCAGTTTAGAGTCTGGTTTACTGTTATATTCATTTATTCATTCATTCTCTGTGTGTCTGTCTGTCCCTGCCTGGCTCTCTTTCTACATCTTTCTCAGAAAAGATTTGATTACCTTTTAGTCATTCACATCCCTACTGAGCAGACTAATGCCAAGCCACCATATAGATCACTGGCCAGGAGTCCACTCCCGATCCAATTCATCATGGCCAGATTGTCAGGTTTTCATGGTATAAAGCAAAGAAACCTGTGCCCGAGACACCACATGGAACACTCCCTTAGGAAGGTAGCTGTCAGGGTGCTCAGGTACCCCAGCACAACTTCATCTCCCTTAAACTATAAAGCTGGGAGAGGTCATGAAACCCAGTCTGCGCCATTGTCCTTTGAACAAAGTTTTAAAATTGTTCCTTAGAGGGGCCACAGGGAAGGTGTGTGAGAGGTAAAGAATGAAGTAAAGGCATTTTTGTGTTTTAGATCAAGCAGGAATTAAGGATATGATTGCACAGTTGATTAATGTAATTGATGTCAGTAGTTTGTATTCCTGTAAAAAGTTAAACTGACAAATGTTGTGAAATAGATATTTTTACAACAACCCAAAAGAGCAGCTGCTGCAGTTGCTTTTGTACAACCAAACACCACATACAATTTGCTTCCTCGGTTTGGAGGGTTATGGCCATGGTTTCATGAAACATCCCAGTTAATTGGCCTAATAGCATATTGAGTGCTTCCATTCCACCGCCTAGTTCATTGTGTGGTGCTTGAGGTCTTAAAAATGTAGCAGCACCATCCAAGTCACAGCAATTGATCATTGCTCACCTGGAGCAACACAGGAAGAAGGAAAGTCAGGAACTGGAGGAAGAAATAGATTGTGTGGCTAATTACTTTTGTGAATAATTGCCTCTTTGCTATGGAGCCAGAAAAGCCAGATGGTGCCTAACTACTATTACTAAATATTTTAATCAAATATTTTATAGAAGAATCCTGATCAAAAGAGGGGGGAAATGAAAAACAGAATTTCAAATTTTCATGACATCCAAACTTTATGGAGCCATTGAGAGCAGAGGAATCCCCAGAGATAAAGCCCAGAGCTAATCTTTAACCTTAAAAAAAAAAAAAAAAAATTCCTGAAGTCTGCTTAAAACCAAACAATAGTTTAGGTTACTTTGTAAAAGACAGCCTTGAGCATTGTACTCTTTCAGGATCCATCTGTATGGAATTAAATATTAAATTGACAACAGCAACTTCCAAAGGTAGGCAATTTAAAGGACAGTGCATTTATGTTGATAGAAGGAACAACTCAAAAAAGTAGGGTGAGAATAGCTGAACAACTTGAAGAATATAATCCTTGTCACTGAGTTGTACATGGAGAAATGGGTGAGTTGGTTTAAGTTTGTCTGTGTTTCAACAAGAACAAATAATAAAATAACTTACTGAAAAATAAAAGAACAAACAAGAGACAGAGTAAGAGAGACAAGCCAACCTTAGGTAGTCTGAGCTCTGGTTGAGTATAATTCACTGGACCTGAGATCGAGACTCTGTCTCTCTTACTTACCACTGAATTTCTCACCCTTAGTGTAGCATCTGGTCCCTATGGTAGGTATTGAAGAAATAGTCATTGAACCAAGACTTCAAACCAATTCCTCCCAGTTTATGATCAATGAAGCAAAACTTTAATGAACTAGAATTTGTACAATGTGGGTATACCAGAATGAAAACTGGAATAGTAAAGATTACAGGTTGACACCCTACTAGAGACATAATTTCCTTCCTAGAAAACAAGGCATCATACATATTGCATGACAACTGAATCTCTTGACTAGGAAAATCACAAACAATGATGCTCGGTTCAAAGATGGCAGCCAACAATCTTGGCAATAATCCAGTCTTCTCCATCAGGTTCTTGAAAGGGCTCATTATACCTCTTCTAAGTCTCCCATTCCAGGGCTTTAACCGGTACTTTTTCAACTGACCCTCTTTAGTGCCTGCTCTGTCTTCTTCCCTTGACCAGGCCTGCAGCCTCTTAGTTGGAAGTGTGCCTTTTCCAAGAAGAGTCTACCACCACCAATCCCAACCATGCACCTCATAGCTGGCTCCTTTCAGCTTTGTAGGACAATTTGAGGTGAACTGTGTGTCACCAGATTTCTTTACTGAGCACAGATGAAGCAAGATGTCCCTTTGTTGTGAGACGTCTTCAGGTGCCTTTGGGAAAAGGCTGGCTGTTCTAGAAGCCAGAGTCAGGTGAAGTCTGTGGTATGGGACAGAGTCACAGAGACACAAGCCAGTCAGGGCACCATTGAACAACATACGGAGACTGGTCGGACCTGCATAGAGAGTTGGTATTGGGGAGATGCAGGAAGCAAGATTGGAAAGGTCAAGAGCAGGGTAAGGTAAGCGGTGGAGATTCTGTAGGGCCCTGAATACCAGTGAGGAGCTGCAGCAATCCTCGGGTCTCTCTGGATTCATTTGTGAGGGGTCTGTGTGTATGTGACCGGAAGAACAGAGTCTACTCCCTGAGCTGACTTCTCACAAGCAATGCAAGTTACCAAGCAAACACAGTTTGGCAGTTTGAATCCTTGTACCTGTTCTAAGTCATTTCCTTCCAGTCAGGAGGGAATTGCAGCACAGTGAAAACACTCCATCACTCTCAGGAGCCTCCCGCCTTCCAGAGCACAGCCACTTAGCACCATCTCCCAGTCCATGCTGCAGGCAGCATCTCCCAGAGAACTGTCTTCCAGCCAGCAACCCTGCCTACAGCTACAGAATTCTCTCCCTTCCCAGGGTCTGAGAAGAAGTGGCTCCCAGACTCCAGTGACGTCCCAGGGTAGTGCCCCAGTTTTCTATTATAATTACCCCTTCCATGTGCAGAGCGCTGGACTTCCCTACATGCTGCCTGCCCTTCCAGCTAAGCTATGTTGTTGTTGTTAAGTGCCATCTTGTCAGTCCAACTCATAGCAACCCTGTTAAAGTTTTCCAAGAAAGGCTGGTGGTTTTGAACCACCAACCTTGTAGTTAGCAGTCTCGTGCTGATCATATGGCACCACACCAGGAGCCCATAGGCATACATTATGGACTTGCCAGCTGGCATCACTAGCCAGTTGGGTAGAAGAGGGACTTATCAGAGACTCAGAGGCCAGCAAGGGGAGAAGAAAAGCTTTGCACCAGAAAACAGCCACAGGTTGCCAGGCACAAGTATCTTGTTCTTGTATTCAGTTGTCTTCTCTGCTATATTTGGAGACTGATTGTGATATGTTATAAGAGTCAGTCACTACTAGAGTGGGTAGTGAAGCATCCAGCTGATATGAAGTGAGGGGAGATGCACAAGAACACCCATATTTGCAGATAGTACCACTTGACCTGGCTTCAATGGCTGGATGATCAGCATTCTACTAGAAGAAGAAAGAAGAGAAAAAAAAAGAGTAACCCATTACAATTTGATGAACTTAACCTATACTTATGGATGTAGTAGCTCAAAAGAGGGGATGAATCTTTACAGCGAGGATCATTCCCACCTCCTCGGTACACAGGGTTGACAGGGATGGGCAACTTAGATGTGGCCTACCCAAAATGGGGGGCTACAAAGGCACAAAGTGACTGCCTTACAAGCTTTCAAGAGGGACCCTAGTTTCAGAGGGTGCAGGGGAAGGTAAAATATCCACTGAGTGATTTCCAACTTGTCTGGATGGGGCTGGTGAAAGGAGATGGGGATAAGACTTCTGTGGTTCAATAGTGAGTAATTGCTATCAGGACCGATTGTGGATGTTGCAAATGTAAAGGTAGACGTTTTGTAACAAAAGGAGAGGAGTGGTTGATTCTGTAGTC